CCACAAATGTGCAAGTGACTCTCCAGATGGCCACAACGTGGTAACCTTGGGGAAGCATGACAAATAGCAAAGCAGAATGTGTGGACAGCCCAGTGATAAATCCATCAGCAATACACCACTGTTGCATCAATGGCATGCTGCAAAATCCACCCCCAACACAACACCGGTTTGGTGTTTCATGGGTTCCCAGGTGAGGGGGCTGGCAGTAATCTCCCCACTTTCTCAAGCAAAAGAGCTGCTTCTCTGTGCTGGAAGACTGAACTCTGTTATTTCCTCCTCGCTGGCAGTCTCCCAAAATGTCAGGACAGCAGGAGTGAGCTGGTAGCAGTATTCCTCACCTTGTTGTGATTAATTGTATTTCTATTTAAACTATAGTCATCCTTTCTCAATTTGCATCTATCCCAATAAATTAGCACATGCAACATTTATGCAAATTTGCATCCGGATTTGCAATCTATTTTGGGGAGGTTTTCCTCTTTTTCAGCTAAGCAGAAGCAGCCAGCGCTGACCAGAACAGACCAGGCTTCCTCCTGTGCTTTTGGGATATGACTGTCATCAGCTGCAGCAGTCAGACTAGGACCTGGGTGACCAGGGTTCAAATCCTCACCCGACCATGGCACTCAGCAGGTGACCTTAGGCCAGGCTCTGCTCCTCTCAGTGTAACCTACCTCACAGGGTTGTTGTGAGGATTAAATGAGGAGAGGAAAACCCAAATAAGCCACCTTGAGAGCCTTGCAGGCAAAGGTGGAATAGAAATACAACAAGAAATCATAGTCCGAAACATCTGGAAGGCACTGGAAATAGGTTTTCACTTTTCAGGCATGAGGTCACAGAAGTCTGGGATAGACAACAGTGAGACAGATGGATGCCCCAATCCGTTTATTGTGCTTCCTATGAAGGAAAGAGCAATGGGACCCTTCTTTGCAGCTGAGTCTAAACCTCCTGCTTTTAGGCAGAGGTCTTTTGTGATGAATTCTTGTGGAAGGCTTTGGCGGCTGGTGGGAGGAGATGGAGTTTGAATTCCATGGTGCTAGAATATGATTTGGATTGCTGACCTAATCCTGGAGTGCATCAGGTCCACCTGTGCCTTTGCTTCTCTGCCCCTCTATGATACCCGCTCCATCTCCACATTTGTAAATTGGGGGATTACTGCAAAGGCACCACACATTTCTAGCATGCTTCTCACCAAAGGTTGCACACTGAAGACACACACACCCTTCCCATTCCCAGGATGGGGGTCATGGTCGGGGACGAGGACACACATAATGATACAGACCTTTCTTTTAAAGCGAGTGTTTGTTATTTTAAAACCAAGCAGCCCTTTGAAAATAGATTTTGTCATTTAGCACTTGAGGCCTGCTTCACCAAGATCTGAGCAGCTCCTTGGCTTGTGTTCTCCGCTCGCTGGGCACCAGCCTGTCAGAAAGCGAGACTCCAGCTCCGCGCTTTGTACTCCCGGTTCCTTGCTCTGCAGGCTGGCTCTTTTCTCCGTGCCGGGGTCACGTAAGCTCGAAGCTGCAATTTGCTGATTGCTCCGGCTCACAACAAAGGGGAAAAATCATCTTCCCACAGCTGCTGCCCTTTGGCCCCTTTCTTCTCTGTATCAGCCTAATTGTTTATGAGCAATTCACACGGACGTCCCTCTTTGCCGTCTTCTTGTCCTGATCGCGGGGCAAAGCAGCTCCTCCAGAATGCAGCTAAGGCTACAGAGAAGCTCTCCTCAATGAAACACTCTCCAACATTTCTCCGACGAAAAGAGGGACATCCTAAGGAAAAGCAGGACATTCCAGGGTCAAATCAGAAACTGGGATGGCTTCTGTAAATCTGGGACTGCCCCTGGAAAATAGGGACACTTGGAGGGTCTGCAATGGCTATTTGCATCTGGAGAGAATCCACATCTAGTATATGCTCTAATTAGGGGTGTCAGACCCCCAGAGCTGACCTGGTCTCCATGTTTGCTTGCACAACCCCCAGGTGGCAGGGGGAGGACTTGACTCTCCAGGTGGGCAAGAGCTCCTTCCCTATCCAGGTTCCCTAAGCAGGTGAGGATGTCCTCAATTCAGCAGGACCTTGGGACATCCCCTTTGGTGAAGGTTTCTATCTTAGAATCAGAGACTTGTAGAGTTGGAAGGGACCACAAGGCTTATCTAATCCAACCCCTGCAATGCAGGAATCTTTTGCCCAGCATGGGGCTCAAACCCACAACCCTGAGATTAAGAGTCTCATGCTCTACCGACTGAGCTACACTTGATGTGGAGGGGACCCCCAGGGTCAAGTAGTCCAACCCCTTGAAATGCAGAAATCACAGCTAAGGAATCCCCCTGAAAGATGGCCTTCCAACATTTCCTTAAGAACTGCCAATGAAGGAGAACCCACCACCTCCTGAGGGAGGCAGTTTCACTGTCAAACAGCTCTTTCCCTCAGGAGATTCATCCTGATGTTGAGTCTGAATCTCCTTTCTTGTAAGGTGATCCACACATAAATTAAGTAAAGTAGTTAAAAGCAGTTGAAAACATCCCCCCAACCCCCCAACCCCCAATATATCTTAAGCAGGACTAAAACCCAACTGGTGGAAATGTGTGGTAAAGACCCATTTTGCCATCCATTGGAACAAAAATCCCTTCCATTGTTTCCAGAAAGTGCAGAAAGTGGGTGTGATGGCCTGGGACTCAGGCTCAGACTCAGAACCAGAGGAGTCTCAGTCTGCACTGGATCCTTAGCCTCAGGCATCATCTGAACCAAGTCTGGGGCCTGATCCTGAAGCGTCCCTGTCTGCACAGGTTCCCCTACAACAAACACCAGCTGGGCTGAGTCAGGGGCCTGAGCCTGCCCTGGCTCCAGATGCGGGGAATACCTCGTTGCCATCAGCTAGGCCATCACTTACAGCTGCTCTACTACTGGTTTGGTCAGGAGAGGCTGAGGCAGCCCCTGGGTCTAGTAACCCACCGACGTCTCCGGAGCTGCAGAGACTAAGGTCTGAGAGAAGAAGAGACCTGAGTACTCGCAGGAGGAGTGCTTGCCTTTGGGCAAAACAGGGAGGTGAGTCGCCAGGGAATCAGGACTGGCCATTACCCCGACAAAGATAAAAGGTTGTCAGACCCTGCCCTAGGTTGCGGGAGCAACATTGCTGTATGCCAGACCCTGCCTGGTTTCCTGCCTCGACCCTGTCGGACTGACTCCTAGCGGAACCTACGGATTCTGGACTGGACCTGGATCGTGGTTCTTGGGTTACCCCCGGGCCCAGCACAGTGGGCACCTGTTGTATCTCAACAGGAATGCAATTCCACAGTCCACAGACCAGGAGTGGCCACACTAAAAGCCCTGCCCTGAGCAGGCTTCTGAGATCTTTGGAATTTGCAGAACGGACTCTCCCGCAGACTACAGCGATCTACTGGGTTTATTACTAGACAAGACTTTCCTTCAAGTAACAGAGGACCATGCCTGGGAGCTCGGGAGCAACAGCTGGGGACGGGGGCTACCAGTGCTGCATCCCCAGCATCTGCCGCCTGAGGCAGCCATGTTCCTCTGCCTCATGGTAGGGGCAGTACTGTGCTTGTTGAACAGCCAGCTTCTTCCAAATTTGGAAGATTTTCGAGCTGGTGCACTTTTCTCAACAACCTTTGTTTTATAGAATAAATGCACAGGTGTTACTGATTTATTTGGGGATGGGAAATGGTGTCCCTCTTTCCCCCTTTTGGGAGAGTGATTACAAGGCTGTTGTATTTCCCCACTGCTTCAACCGTAATATTTGGTCACTGGGTGAATACAGTCCTTCCTCTAGTTAAATCCTGCTCATAATTTTTATGGTTTGCTCATATATTGGAAGCTCTGTCAATAAAAATCAAGAAAACTTTCTATGGGTGCAATTTGCCTGTAGCTGTGAGTTCCTTCTTCTTCTTGCGAATTCTATTTCATAAGAAATTGAATGGAATAAAGGCATCATTTGGCAGAGACAAAATTGTCTGTCTGGACATTTAGTCCTGCCCTGAGTTTCAAAGGAGGAAACAGACTGTTTAAGGAGAAAAGGGCTTCTGGAGCAAAGCGCAGCAGCCAACAAGCTTTGAAGGAAAGAAAAGAAAAAGAACTAATAAGGCAAAGTTGCTTCATACATACATTTTGATATTTTTATCAGTCATGCCCACTCTAGAAACTGGGAACCCTATGTGAGATAATGGCAGGAATAGCAATTGCGCCTGAATAGAGATGGATGACTTTGCCTATTTTCTTCCTCTCAGTTTCTTTTACTTTTCCCCAGTCTTAAATCCCATTCAGGGCATTTTCTTGTTGTTGCTGTTGTTAACCCACCATTTACCTGACGCTCCTGGGGCAGGTTACATACTGTTTATGACAATTTACAGTCACAGAAATTAGGTGTGTCCGCAAAACACACACCTCCAGGGTCAAAAGCCAGGGTGAAGAGGTGGGTTTTCAGTTGTACAATGAAGCTGCCAGGCACACCTCTGTGGGGAGGTTAGGGGCCACCACAAAAAATGCTCTCTCCACAAAGCTTCTGACGGCAGAGGAACTACCAAGAGGGCTCCCTCAATACAACACATTTTGCCTAATACAACACATTTTGTTTGTTATTTTTACTGTATGGATGGGTGTCTATGCACACTCTCCCCTCAAATATGAGATACGGGCATTGTATGAAAGGTAGTGTGGAGCAGTGGCTAGAGTGCTAGACTAGGACCTGGGAGACCAGGGTTCAAATTCCCATTCAGCCATGAAGCCCACTCATCGATTTTGAGCCAGTGAGTGTTGCTCTCAGCGTTACAGATTTTTTGTGAGGATAAAATGGAAATGGGCGAGCGGTGTGTTTATGCCACCTTGAGATCTTTGGAGAAAAGGTGGGACAGAATAATAATTAAATAAGACATAAAACAACCATATGCGTTTTTGCACACCTTTGGAGGGGTTTGGGAACAGCACCGCAAAATTGGGAGAGGAGTGCTATTTCAGAGGATAACTGCATTTCAGTTTGCGTATTGCTTCAGAAAGCAAATAACTCAGTCAGTAGAGCATGAGACTCTTAATATCGGGGTCGTGGGTTTCAGCCCCATGTTGGGCAAAAAGATTCCAGCATCGCAGGAGGTTGGATTTGATAACTCTCATGGTTCCTTCTAACTCTATAGTTCTATGATTCTATGAAAGTGTGAATTAGGCAGGCTCGTATAAAATGCAAACAGAACCACATTTCTTCTCCATACCTTAGTGCCGTAGCGACCTCCGTTTCCACCCCATATATTGTTGGTTTGCAAGCCCCCTCCACAGGGGCTGGCCCCTCTCACTGTCCTCGGAGCTTGCTTACCGGTAACCTCCTCTGGCTGACATCCAGACAGACCAGGGAGATTTTGATAGGCGACATTTCCCCAAGAGTGGGTAAAATGCACAACCCCTCCCTCCTTCCGCAGGGGAAAGAAAATAAATCAGAAATCTATTTACATGGTGTTTATTTCTGACATTACAGCACTAGAGAAAAACACGTCCTTTCAGTTCAGTTCTTCCAGCAAGTCTGACAAACTTCCTGAACATGCGCAAATGGAAGGTTTCAAATTACACTCTTCACAAAGACTTATCCAGCCTGTGAACGTCCTGGGAAATTCTTCTTCCCACAGATAGGCGCATCATGTGATGTCAACAATCTGGCTGTCTGCAGCGGTGATGTTTCCATATACTGACATCCTCCCCCATATGAATCATCGTTAGCTGCGGACAAAGCTTGATCCATAGAAGAAAACAAACAGTTGTTATACATGTAACAATCCCCTGTTGTTTCAGTTCCACCCTTGGAATTACTCGCCACTGGTTTCACCAATGTAACTCTCTGGTTGTCTGTTTTCCAAGGAATGAGTGCTTCTGCATTACCTCGGCTAGGAAATGTTGTGTTACGCTTAGCAACTCCCTGTTGTGTCTTTGTCTCTGACTTGGACATACCCTTAACCTGGCTTGAGTTGTCAGCAATAGTAATACATGCAACAGCTGAACTAGCAAACTCTTGAGAATAGCTCTTGGGTGGTACGCCCTTTGTAACCCTCTCAGACCTGCGTATGAGGTGCTGATCCTCCTTGCTGACTGGTTCAGTCTCAGGACTTTTCGGAGAACCAGTTCCAATAGTAAACAGTGGTTCATCCTTAACCTTTGAAGATCTAGCTTTTGTGTGTGAACCTTTCTCAATGACTGTGTCAACAGAACTCTACGAGCTTCCTGTGTCACTTTCAGTATCACTATAATCAGAATAAGCAAATTCATCATCTGAATCATCAGCAGTGGGAAATGTGTGAAAAATTACTCTCTCCTGTCCAGGAGCACTTTCTAGAAATTTTGTGAGAATCACCTGACCAGATTCAGACAAAATTACTCTGTAGAGACCCTTTTCATAACCCACAAAAATGCCTCTGGCATTCTTCACCCCATCTGGAGTTTCCGTCCGGATTTCAGACCCAAAATCCTTAAAATGTGCTAGCGAAGGTTTTCTGTGGAACAGCCTCTCAAAAGGAGAACATTCCATACCTTTTGAAACCTTTCTCACCCAAGAGTAACAAAAACATGATAAATATTTTTTTTTTAATGATATTTATTAAAATTTCAGAAACAAAAAATTACATAGTTAAAAAGAAAAGAAACAAGAGAAAAAAATTAAAAAGAGACAAAATACAAAGTACAGAAAAAATAATAAAAAACACTTAAAAACAAATCAATCCTTCCGTATCTTGCATTTCATTTCCTTGCTTCACTGACCTCCTCTCACCTCCCTTTTTTGTATTCCAGTTCAATTGGTTAATTCAGCAATTCCTTTCCCTCTTAATTTTGGCTTAGTCCTTTAACTTAATATATTATAGCTTTAGATTCTCACCTATTAACAATCCATTTTTACATACACCTTTATGACATTGCTGCTAAAACCACTTAACTTCATTCTGACATCATTCTAACATTCATTAATTAGGCAATATTTCTGTAAATAGTCTTTAAATTTCTTCCAATCTTCTTCCACCGACTCTTCTCCCTGGTCTCAGATTCTGCCAGTCATTTCCGCCAGTTCCATATAGTCCATCACCTTCATCTGCCATTCTTCCAGAGTGGGTAAATCTTGTGTCTTCCAGTACTTTGCAATAAGTATTCTTGCTGCTGTTGTAGCATACATAAAGAAAGTTCTATCCTTCTTTGGCACCAATTGGCCGACTATGCCCAGGAGAAAGGCCTCTGGTTTCTTCAAGAAGGTATATTTAAATACCTTTTTCATTTCATTATAGATCATCTCCCAGAAAGCCTTAATCCTTGGGCACATCCACCAAAGGTGAAAGAATGTACCTTCAGTTTCTTTACATTTCCAACATTTATTATCGGGCAAATGATAGATTTTTGCAAGCTTGACTGGGGTCATGTACCACCTGTATATCATTTTCATAATATTCTCTCTTAAGGCATTGCATGCCGTAAACTTCATACCTGTGGTCCATAACTGTTCCCAGTCAGCCATCATTATGTTATGTCCAACATCTTGTGCCCATTTAATCATAGCAGATTTCACCGTTTCATCCTGAGTATTCCATTTCAACAGCAAGTTATACATCTTTGACAAAATCTTAGTTTTGGGTTCTAACAGTTCTGTTTCTAATTTAGATTTTTCCACCTGGAAGCCAATTTTCTTGTCCGAATTATATGCCTCCATTATCTGATAATAATGAAGCCAATCTCGCACTTTGTTTTTTAGTTTCTCAAAACTCTGCAGTTTCAATCTATCTCCCTCTTGTTCCAGAATTTCCCAATATTTCGGCCATTTGGCCTCCATATTGAGCTTTTTCTGTGCTTTCGCTTCCATCGGTGACAATCTTTATCAAAAACATGATAAAGATTCAGCCCAATACTCATGTGGCAAGTGTGAACTCAGCAATTGTGCCTTCATGCCATTTTGCAAATCTTTGTTCACTCTTACACAGACAGTTTTGTTCCATGCAGCCTCTGAAACAGCAACCTTGTGCTCTATCCCTTGCTTCTCAAGGAAATCCTGAAAATCCTGTGAAAGAAAAATTGGCTTTTCATCTGTGAAAAGAAAATCAATTTTAGCATCATGAACATTCTTAACCTTATCACAAAACTCCTTAAACCTTTCTAAGGTTTCTCTGGGACTCTGCAACATGTAAATCCATACATATTGAGAAAAATGATCAACAAATACAAGATAGTATTTTGCATTGCCTCTAGCTGGTGCTAAAGGACCAATTACATCAGCATACACTCGCTGAAAAACACTGTTAATCTTTGTTGCCTTTCCTCTCGTGTCTTCTTTCGAGATACCTGCAAGAGAAAGCATTTTAGATTCACATGCTGTACACATTTTATAGTCCGATTCCTCAAATGTCAACAGATACAGTCCATCTTTCTCTCTGGCAGAAAGATACAGGTCTCCATCTTTGTAGATTTTGCAGCTTTCCTCATCATAGGATAACACCAGTTTCTTCTTAGCGATTTGAGAAACACTCAGCAAATTGTACTTTAAATAAGGAACAAAATAAACATTGTTTATAGTCAAGTTCAGGCTTTCCAGATACACAGTTCCGATCCCGGTTGCTTCCATTTCCTGACCATTGGCCAGTTTCACAGTGAAGCATTGCTTCTCAAATGTAGAAAACAGTTCCCAGCGTGATGTCATGTGTTGCGTCGCTCCTGTGTCTACAATAAATGAGTTCTCCACGGATGATGTGGCCTTTAGTGACATCAAAGCCATATCTGGTTTTGCCTGGAACTGGGTACGACCTTTGTTTGAAGACTCAGGCTTTACAGAGCTCCCTCTAGCTTCTTTCTCCTGACGTGGTGTCTCCTGACGAACAGCGTTCTGAACTACAGCTTTCTCCTCTGTAGCAATAGTAGTGGGGGTGCTTGATTTCTGAGGTTCACTCCCCCCATCAGCAACAGCCATTGCAGCAATGCTAGGATCATCAACAGCAACAGCATCAGCAGCAACAGTCTCTCCACTTTCCTGTTGTGGCTCAAAGCTCCTCCCAGCTTTCGATGAGCTCTCAAGAATTTGGCTAGCTTCATCTTGGCTCTCCCCCTTTGGTGCTTTGCGGAGTGACTCCCAAGCGACCCTTGGTTCTTGTGCACCCTTTAGGACTGGCTCAAGACAAGTGTCCACATTTTCCGCCAAAATTCTCAGGACACGCTGCTTCAATTCATTTTGAATTGCAGCCTTCTTCCCTTGTGCTTGTACAGCAACAGGCTGTGGAGTTTGGACTAAGTCCCATAATTGCTCTCCCACCAGCAAGAATTCCATTGCAAATGACCATTCTAGCCAGTTTTGGCTATTCAGTTTCTGAGAGAACAGAGCCATCTTTAATCCCAAGCTGCAGCTTCAGCTACAAACTGGAAAATCCAAAAGTCTATTGGGCTGTTTACAAGCTGCTTGCACTTGACAGTCAGCCCATCTGCCTGGAATTTTCCCTTTCCGAGAATCTGTAAACAATAAACCTTCGCTGCAATCCAACAGCTCTTTGCTTGGAAAGTCCCTTTTCCAACAGTTTGTTTACAACAAGCGTCACTGAAAAACCCAGCCTTGCTTTCGTTTCTGAAGCTTCTTTTCTCTCTTTGCTTTTTAAACTAACCAGCTCATAAATTTAGCTCAAAAAGTACTCACGATTCCGTCTCCAAGTAACGGCAGCTCTTATCAGCTGTGGAATGCGAAGTATTTGGCTTCTCTCCGCTCTGTTTTATCCAAAACAGGAGCTTTTTCTCAGGGAACCGAAGACTTTTCAATTTGCGTTCACCATCCAGCCATAAATCAGCATCGCAGAGGTCCGTGGATCGCTGCTTATCAGCAAAAAAACCTCTCCCACCTGGTGCTCAGCCATCTTGTTGTTGCAACCATTGGGCTCTGCTACCACTTGTTGGTTTGCAAGCCCCCTCCACAGGGGCTGGCCCCTCTCACTGTCCTCGGAGCTTGCTTACCGGTAACCTCCTCTGGCTGACATCCAGACAGACCAGGGAGATTTTGATAGGCGACATTTTTCCAAGAGTGGGTAAAATGCACAACCCCTCCCTCCTGCTTCCTCAGGGGAAAGAAAATAAGTC